TAATACGTCAGGCTAGGAATGGGGATGGGGGGTGGACGGTGAGAGGGAACTTGGGAATCTTCATGAAGGAATGAAGACACTTGTCATGGGATTAGTGCTGGAACACAGTAAGTCTAACACAAAAATATGAATAACTTTGTAAATTATGGTGCATTCCTTGGGTCAGGCTCCTTCTTCCACCCCCACTATCAACCAATGCAAAGTCAAACTACCTGGAATGGAATAAGTTCTCTGCACCTCAGACATTCATCCATGCAAACATCTTGCAGTAATCCAATGAGAGTCATTTCCATCTCTGATATCCAGCATTGTTATAGCTCTGGGTTTGTTTTCTGATTTTGCTTTAGTAAACGAGTATAATATATTTTACTGCAAGTATAGGAATTTAATAAACGCAATAATTCAACAAGATTTGTTTAAAAGACAGTAATTAAGTCTCCATCATTGATTTCTGATGGGCAAGGAAATTTCAACTTTCAACCTGTTATTAATCACACAAATTTGTATTGGTTTGTTGATAATGCCCCATTAATTAGCACGGTGAATTCCTTGGTACTTAAATGGAAATATGTTCCATGTCTTTAAATATGGCCATAGGAATTTTCATGGGTATCACATTACATGTCAAAATGACTTTGGGTAGGATAGTCATTTTAACGATGCTGAATCTTCCAATCCATGAAGTGAACTTGCAATCCGTGAACTTTTACAAGAAGTTAAGAATACTACGGTTGTTTTTATCAAAACTAAAATCAGGTCACTGACACCATACATAAAGCACACATATGTTCTCAATTTAATTATATATCCACATTCACCTATGGTATTTAGATTTTATAAGGTTTTTGGGACTCTCTCTCTGTCTGTCTCTGTGTGTGTTGTGTGTCTGTGAGGGGGGTGGTCACATCTGGCAGTGCTCTGGGTTTACTTCTGGCTCTGTTCTTAGGGATCATTCCTGGCAGGGTTAAGGTACTATCTGCAGTGCTGGGGATCTTCCACATGCAAGGCAAGCATAGTATCCACTGTCCTATCACTCAAGTCCCAACTTTGGTAACTTTTGATGTTTCTAAATCACATTCTTTTATTTTAGTTTGCGAAAGTCCTTTTAGAATTTTCCTGTAAAGCTTGTCAAGAGGTCTTACTTTCTTTCATCATTTGCTTGATTGGAAAAGTATTTTTCCTTTATTCCTGAAAAACAACTCTCCTCATACATTGCATGCTTGGTAAGGGGCTTCACTTTCAGCACTTACTCTGGGTGAAGCATTGTCTCCTTACTCTTCAGGTCTCTGTGAGAAGCCAATGATAATCCCACTGATAATCCCTTAAATGTGTGTACTGTTTTTCTTAATGCAACAATGATGAACTCTCAGTGATGATGAGAACTGATGATGATTTCAAATTTACATCATTGATTGTAAAATGAAATCAATGATGGTTTCATTTTACAAAGTTATGTATAGTTTGTTGTTATACAAGATACTAATACTCTATATGTGTGTGCATCACCCTATATCACCAAATGGCTTTAACCACATCAAAGAGATTCTTCTACCTATTCTTCCCACTCAATTATAATTCTCCACTATTAAACACATTTTATGGTCTTAGAGTCTAGTGGTTCTTTTTCTTTATATGGATGCACTTGTCCAGCCTCTTATTCTTTATTTTTTATTTTAGCAACATCCTAGAGGAATCCCAATATCTGTTCAATGAACAGAGTTGAGAAAACAAATGCTTATTCTGACAATATGTTTTTAAAAATACATTTTAATATGTTATCTGAAATATGAAATATACCATATAAGACACTGATGTGAATAGGGTACATAATATTCGCCCAAATACTGAAGAGTGGTCTTTCTCCTCATCAGATGACACAGGCTTTTCACCTATCTACACTAACTATTTGACATGAAAAAAGAAACATTCTTGAATAAGAGAAAGATCCACAATGGACAATATTGATAACGCATATTCACAAATCCACAAATTATCAAATTAATTGTTAATGGAATTAATTATTCATTAAGTATTAAATAATAATTAATCTTATTGATTCCCATGGAATTAATTTGTCATCACTCCAGTAATACATAGCTTGCTTTGGTTAAGGATATTTCATAACTTACAAAAGCTCTCACCTTTTCTTTCAATATTTCTTCATTAATCCTCTGACTGCATTAGTTTATACTTAGAGAAAATAAATCTAATGATACATAGATCAGAGGTTAGATCTAGGCCCAAGGTAGTTGAGTCACACTGGGTAATTGAAGGGCATAATACTAAAATGGGAGGAGTAAAAGTGCCAAGAATGATTACAGGAACAGTCCAAGTAAATTCAAGTCATTTCTATTCATTTATATATTAAAACAAAATACAACATAAAATGCATGAAGAAATGTTCTTCATGAACATAAAATGCATGAGTAATTGGAGTTAACATATCCATAGCATATATCTGGAAAGAAGAGCACCATGGCAAATATGTCATGAACGAACATAGACTCTCTATAAAGACTAGCAAATGAGTTTAGATACACAGTAGACCAGAATGCTCAATACACTCTGACTAAGCAGTAGCCTTTGCTAATAATGGCATTGCATTAAACAATGTGCTATTAGGATGACTTGCTTGAGAGTAGTTGCTTGTTATGTGGCTAGGATCATTGACATAATATTCACAGTGAATAGAGTGAAGGTGATGTTAATTAGCTACTCCTCAGTATTTTTGTTATTTCAAGAGAACACTCAAAATTACTCTGTTATTTCAGATTATTCTAAATAACAAGTGTCTACTGAAGGTTCTTTCCAGGAGCTTGGGACAGCCTGATGGACCAGGAATTTTTGTGTCTTCAAATGGTTGCTTCATAAGAATACATAGGCCGGGGCTGGAGCAATAGTACAGCGGGTAGGGTGTTTGCCTTGCACCTGGCAGACCTGGGTTAGGTTCCCAGCATCCCATATGGCCCCCTAAGCACCACCAGGAGTAATTCCTGAGTGCAGAGCCAGGAGTAATCCCCGTGCATTGCTGCTTGTGACCCAAAAAGCAAAGCAAAAAAAGAAAAAAAGAATACATAGGCTTTCCACTTATCTCCACTCACTATTTGATATGAAAATAAAAACATTTTTGAATGAAGGATCCACAACGGAAAAAATTGATAATGTACATTCACAAAATTCCAGTGATGACCACAAAAGGGGAAGCACTGCCTTTCATAATACAGATTGCCCTGGAGATTCCCAGCAGAGAAAAAGGAAGGTTAACTTAACCTTAAAAAATGGTTTTAACTTAAAAAATGCAAATTGTTCATTAATCTTTCACCCATATGTAAAATTCACATCATTAAATCTCAATCTATCCACCACAGAGCAGATAGATGTGCTTCCTGAATAACAAATAGTTTGCATAATTGTACCATGTATGATATAAATTTGCTGTATTTCCTGTCATTTGCATTCTGATGGGATGAATCTCTCTCTCTCTTTTTTATTTTTGGCCTAACCGCTGATGCACAGGGATTACTCCTGGCTCTGCACTTAGGAATTACTCCTGGAAGTGCTCAGAGGACCATATAGGATTTGGGGAATCGACCCAGGTCTGCTGCATGCAAGGCAAACGCCCCCACCCTCCCCGCCGCCCCCACTGTGCTATCACTCCAGCCTTGGGATTGGATGAATCTCTTTATAAAATTTTGTCTTGCAATGGAAACACCTCTTAAAGACAGGAACTTGATAATCATAATGCAAGAAAATATGGTAAGCATTGTGGACGGGAGTTGAAAGAGAAAAAATCCCTCCTTAAGGAGAATAAGACCTAGGGACTAGAAAGGAAACAGTGGTGTGGTAACATATACTTCATCAGGAAGATGTACTAAGGTACAGACATGCCTTTCAAATCCAAATTTTCGAACAAAAAATGTTCCTGTTTTCTATATTATTTTGTGAAACAATATAGAATTGGTCATAAAGTAGAGTTTTCTTTTTCTCTTCAAGTAGTTTAAACTCAGAGCTAGAGCAAGTAGGCAAGTAGGCAAGTAGGGCATTTGCCTTGCACACGGCTTACCTGACCTTAATCCCTGGCACTTCATATGATTCCCCCAAGCTCAGCCAGGAGTGATTCCTGAGTGCAGAGCCAGGAGTAATGCCTGAGCATCACTGGGTGTAACCCCCCAAAAGCAAAAAAATAAGAAAGAAAAAAAAAGAAGAACAAATGAAGTTTGTTTGAAAATAAACAAACCCATGATTCCTTAGCAAAATTTAAAAGTTGGTAATATATATATATATATATATATATATATATATAGAGAGAGAGAGAGAGAGAGAGAGAGAGAGAGAGAGCACTGTAGCACTGTCATCCTGCTGTTCATCAATTTGCTTGAGCAGGCACCAGTAACATCTTCATTGTGAGACTTGCTACTGTTTTTGACATCGAATATGCCATGGGGAACTTTCCAGGCTCTGCCGTGTGGGCAGGATACTCTTGGTAACTTGCTGGTTTCTCTGAGAGGGATGGAGGAATGGAACCTGGGTCAGCCACATGCAAGGCAAATGTCCTACCCGCTGTGCTATCGCTCCAGCCCATGATATATGTCATTTGATAAAAATTATTTTTAAATATATTGTATATTTAAGCAACTGTAGATTTGTAAATGTTTACTATCTACGATCGGCAGAGCCTGGCAAGCTACCTGTGACGTACTCGATATGCCAAACACAGTAACAGCAAGTCTCATGATGGAGACGTTACTGGGCCTGCTTGAGCAAAATCGATGAACAACAGGAGGACCGTGACCATGACTATGTACGATTAGAAACAAATTTTGAAGCATAGTTGAAAGACAAACAAGAAAAATCAATAGAAGAAAAGAGAGGTCAGAAATCTTAACCATGTGAGAATTATATCCAATGAACAGAGAAATTAAAATTTCTATTTCCAGGTGTAATAATGACAGTTTCTTCCCTAACAATTAAACTCAACAATGATGAGCATTTCCTTGATCCTAGGACAAGTGTCTTTGGATGGTCCCCTTCATGAAGAATGCCTGGAGGGCCGTTTTTATGTCTTTGTTTCTTAGGCTGTAGATGAAGGGGTTCAGCATGGGCGTGACCACAGCATACATCACTGAGGCAACTGAACTTGACTGTGAGCTGTGAGTAGTAGCAGAGCTAAAGTACATTGTTAGGCTTGTACAAAAAAATAAAGAGACAACTGAGAGGTGAGATGCACAGGTAGAAAATGCCTTAAGTTTTCCCTGAGCTGAAGAGATTCCACGGATGGAGGAAAAGATCTTAGAGTAGGAATAAAGGATCCCACCTAGGCAACTACCCAGCAGAACGGATGCAAAGTACATCACCACATTATTGAGAAATGTGTCAGAGCAGGCCAGAGGGATGATCTGTTTGAGTTCACAGTAAAAGTTGGGGATTTCCACATCTGTGCAGAAGAGCAGCTGCAATGTCATGAAGGTCTGTATTAAAGAATTCACGGTGCTTGGAAACCAAGAACCAACTAGAACCAGCTGCCCACACAGCCGGGGGTTCATGATGACCATGTAGTGCAAGGGGTGGCAGATGGCCACGAAACGGTCATAGGCCATCACAGAGAGGAGACTGACTTCCAAACAACCAAACAGCAGATAAAAGTGCATCTGGGTGATGCAGCCCGCATAGGTGATGGCTTTGCTGTGTGTCTGGATGTTCACCAGCATCTTGGGGATGGTAGTGGAAGTGAAGCAGAGGTCCACAAAGGACAAGTTAGAGAGGAAGAAGTACATGGGTACATGGAGATGAGTGTCTGAGATGACGGCCAGGATGATGAGCAGGTTTCCAAGCACAGTGATCAGGTACATGAACAGAAAAGTCACAAAGATGATGGACTTCAATTCTGGGTCTTCTGAAAGTCCATGAAGGAGAAATTCTGAAATTCCAGAATCATTTTCTTTTCCCAGGTGAAGTTGAATGTGAGTTTCCAGAAAGGAGGAAATGAAAAGGTGAAATTTCACATAAACCTGTGTTACTCATATCTATGAAGGACACAGTTCAGTATTTTTTTTCTAGGACTAAATTATTATTCAGTGGAATCTATGGTGACTACGAGAAGGAAAGTGGAGTTTAGTGGGAAGAATGATTAGAGGGTCATTTTGGTGGTAAGATGTTTCTGGAACATTGGTGATGAGTAGTTCTCATCATTGGTGATGAGTGTGATGAGAACTACCCACATAGACAGTTATAAAGCCATACACCCGAAATCCCATATCAGTTTGAACCAATGATAATACAATGAAAAGTAATATATTTAAAGCAAATTTATATCATACCTCCATATGCATCCGCTTATATTAATAATATTAACATAAAGTTAATATATCCATATGTACCAGCTCTCTTTGCAAAGATTTATCAAGCTTCTTATTATGTGGGAGTTCTGTCCCACTTTCTTTATAGCATCATGAATTCTATAGCTTCTTATACATCATCTGACGAGAACTACATCACCAGAAGTATGGATTAAGTGCTGACCGTTTTCTAGGCATTATATAGATGGGAGAGAACAAAAGTCCCCACAATTCAATGATGGAGAAAGAACACAAAGTGAAACACAAAACCATGTTTACCTTTCAGTGGTATTGTTATTACCAAAACATAGAAAGCAGATTAAAGGAGAAATTCAAGTGAAGAGCTTCTTTTTTAAATGCTTTGTTGATAATAACACAAACAGGCAACATGAGAGAGAGAGAGAGAGAGAGAGAGAGAGAGAGAGAGAGAGAGAGAGAGAGAGAGAATGAGATAATGAGTCAGAAATGTTTTCCCAAGAAGGGAATTGTCAATAGAAACACCAACGGGATATTCTTCTTGAGGGGGTTAACTAAAGAAAGCAAAAGCAGAATTGCAAGGGATCTGAGAAAAAGGCAGAGCTGGGAGATGGTGTCCAATGTGGGGAGGTAAACGTTCTCTTAGTTACACTGACGCCTCAAGGCTCAGGGACTTTGTCATCCAATCCACATCTCCTCATCCTTTATTAATCTTGTTGCCAAGTGAGCCTTGAATGGAAACCCATCCCTTTTGGTACATTCACTGGGTTACTTCATATCTGTATGGTGGGACTCACTTTGGAACATACTCATAAAGCACCCCTACCCTTAGGACTGCTCACAACCCACAAGCACATGAGCATGCATGCACACATATACACACATGTGCACACACAGACACACACAGTGCACAGCCCTTCACAAGACACCATGTCTCTATTTCTGTGGCTGTTTACTCATTCCTAACAGTTCTCATTAATCCAGGAACAACCGAGTCCCAGTTTGCGCTGATCAGTCACCTTACTATTCAACACAGAAATAGATACCTGCACTTTCATATTATGTTCTTTTTGTTTAGACCTTGTTTTTTTCAATTTACCTTGCTAATATTGTGGAGTAGTTGTGCTTACCATCACAGGCTCATGTATATCAAACTCCCATCATTGAAGTCCTAGTGTTATCCATCCCCCAAAAGACCCTCCACCTCTTGAATCCACTACTCCAGCTCCTTGAATACCTGCAGTAACCACCATAGTTTACACCAAGTGATAAAGTTAGTTTCCTTGTTTTTTTCCCTGGGTATTTTTGCTCTAGTGATTCATATTCTCACAAATGAGTAATTTCCTTTCATAATTATCACATGAAAAAATTAATTTTGGGCAAGAGGGATTGGGAATATATTCAATTTTATTGATAAACAATGTTTATTTTTTCTGCTTAACTTTTAGTATTATATTTTTGCATTTATTTTTGTATAATATTTAGTGTTATATCTTTGAGACAGTAGATTCAAAGTTATATGGTATTGATGTACAAAATCACTGCATTTAGTATGATCGATGTGCCCATGAACCTTCACCCTTAACTCTCATTCCCCAGTAATTTTGGGAGAGCATGATTTACAGATGTGTCCACAATAGAGTTTCAGGCATAAAGTGGTCCGACACCAATTCCTCCACCATTGTCCTCGTATCTCTCCTACCCACCCCCACCCCTAGTCTGTCTCCTTAGCACAAAATTTTTTTTTAATGTGGTGTGGGAACACTGTATATTTCCACCATCAAAAAATACCAATGGTTCTATGGTTTGGCAATGTACCACAAATTAATTTTTGCTTTATTTTTGGGCCACACTCATCAAAGCTCAGGGGTTACTCCAGGATTTACACTCAGTAATTTGTTCTGATAAGACTCAGGAAACCATATGGTATGCCAGAAATTTTACTCCCACCAGCCACGTGCAAGGCAAATGCCCTACCCACTGTACTATCTCTTTGACCCCAAACATATTATTGTTTAAAAATATAATATAGATCTTTGATACCCATCAGTTGGGGGCAAATTCCAGAGCTGTCTCTACTCAGTTGTGTTGAAAATTGTAAACTGGAAGCAAAGGGAATAGGAGCTAATTTAGCTGGAAGAAATCCAAAGTTACAAGGTGGTAAAACAACATGGAAATAAATAGCTGTCTCTGTATTACACGGATTATAGGATGTAGGGTGTTTTCCTTGCATGCGGCCGACCCGGCCGACCCCTCAGCCCCATCAGAGAGCCTGGCAAGCTACCGAGAGTACCTCGCCCTACATGCCAAACACAGTAACAAGTGTCACAATGAAGATGCTACTGGGCCTGCTCGAGCAAATTGATGAACAATGGGAGGACAGTGACAGTGACAGTAACAGATGTTACATGTGCTATTCTAAATATTACATATATTGACTTCCCCTAAGTTGGTTTTATTAGTCTGGCACTACTGAGTCTCTGAGATTTTCCAAAGGGTTGTCTGAGTTGCTTAACTCACCTGACTGGACCCCGGGAAAAAGAGACTTCGTGTAGAACCCTGACTTCCTCATCGAAAGGTGGGGAAAGGACACTGGAGGACTTTCCCTGGAAAGATGGGAAGAAGGAATGCAGCCTCTGTGCCCCAGCCAGCATTAGGAATAAAACAGAAGAAATTAAAAACACAGGATATGTCCCTTGCAGCCCAGGTTCACGCAGGCTGAGACTCAGGAGAGACAGAGTTATTTACTGCTCCCTCTGTCTGTTCATTTGGCACCTTTGTGTCTTGTTTCTTCAACCTCTAAAAATAGAATTCCCCAGTGGAAAATGGGTTTGGACAGAAAGGAATATTGTTTCCCCTAATAAGACTCGTTTCCCAAGACATTAGAACTCAAGTGAGTCCAATTTTGTTTGAGTTCATCTTCCTTAGCCATGGAAAGTCTGCCCTCCAACTGCCAATCAATTAGTCCTTAATCTTCAGAGTTGGAATTTTCTCTACCTATCAGAATGGGGATCTGTCTGGATTCAGCCCCTTGTCTTTTCAAAGCATGAGCTTCAGAAAAACTGGAATCATCTACACAACAAGAAAGAGCTGAGTTGTTTTGATAATCAACCTTGGCTTCATGATGATCTCCCAGAAAGTTAGGCTAATTCGCACTTCTATCACAAGTGCAGGCTCTCATTCTATCCCTATCCATATCTTTATGCATCATTGACAAAATTTCCTCCGCCCCTCTCGGAGAGCCCGGCAAGCTACTGAGAGTATCTCGCCTGCATGGCAAAGCCTGGCAAGCTACCCATGATGTATTCAATATGCCAAACACAGTAACAAGTCTCAAAATGGAGATGTTACTGGGCCCACTCGAGCAAATCGATGAACAACGGGAGGACAGTGTTTGACAGTGTTTGACAAAAATATGCTTGAGGTGTTTTCTATAGTCTGAATTTCACTTTATGAGAATGAACTGGTTTAACTTAAATAAACAGCTGCTCCATGTCAGAGCCCATTTTGTTTTGTTTTTTCAACTGAATTACTGTGAGATATAGTTACAGACTTTTATGATTAAGTTTCAGTCACACAATGATGAAGCACCCATCTCTCCACCAGTGCGCATTTTCCACCACCAATGTTCCCAGTATCCCTCCCGCTACCCCCACCCCACCCCACTCCCTGCCTCTGTGGCAAGCACCTTCCTTTTCACTCTCCCTCTACTTTTGGGCATTATGATTTGCAATACAGATACTGAGAGGCCATCATGTTCGATCCTTAGTCTACTCTCAGCATACATCTCCCATCCCGAGTGATCCCTGCAACTATCATTAACTTAGTGGTCCTTTCTTCATTCCAATTGCTTTTCCCTGGCACATAAGGCCAGCTTCCAAACCGTGAAGTGATCCTCCTGGCCCTTATCTCTACTGTCCTTAGATGTTAGTCTCATATTATGTTACTTTATATTCCAGAAATGAATGCAGTCATGACAGAGCCCTTTTATAACTCGTTCTCCTTTGCCAAACCTGAGGTGTTTGTGTTCTTCCTAACATTTGATCAAAATGATAGTGCTTGCTGAGTGCAGCCACTCAGAAAGAAAAGGATAGATCATAGGAGAACCGATGCATCGGCTGAATTAGGCAGGGGGCTTGAAGGGGAATAGTGTTGGGAGAAGGAGGTAGGTATGCTGGTAATGTGTGTGATGTTGGAATTATGTGCATGAAAAAACATTATTGATAGAATTATAAATCACAGAATCCTGATCAAAAAATTTTTTTTAAATGGCAGGTCTTGATTGTAATTTTTTCAGGATGCTTCTAATTCTCAAACATGGGGCACTGGCTCCCAGCCCAAAATAGGGTTTCCTCTGGAATAACCACAATGATATTGGATGCTTCTAAATACCTACAACCCACAAGTTAGAACTATCATTTTTTAAAAATCTTTGAATATTTTTCTTTTTAAAAATTTGTTTTTTAAACTTTTTTATCTTTCAGTTTTGTTACTTTTTAAATTTGTATTTTATTTTATCTTTTGCAAAGCTGTTTATGATTGGATTTCAGCCATACAGTGTTCCAATACCCATCCCTACACCAGTGTACATTTCCCAGCACCAGTGTTTCCAGGTTCCCTCCCATCACGCCCAACTCCCCACCCCCTGCCTGTCTCTATGGCAGGCGCTCTTCTTCTTCTTCTTCTTCTTCTTCTTCTTCTTCTTCTTCTTCTTCTTCTTCTTCTTCTTCTTCTTCTTCTTCTTCTTCTCCTTCTCCTTCTCCTTCTCCTCTTCCTCCTCCTCCTCCTCCTCCTCCTCCTCCTCCTCTCCTTCTCCTCCTCCTCCTCCTCCTCCTCCTCCTCCTCCTCTTCTCCTTCTCCTCCTCCTCCTCCTCCTCCTTCTTCTTCTCTTTCTCTCCTTTTGGGCACTGTGGTTTGTAATATTGGTACTAAAATGTTATCCAGAATATCCCTTACCTACTTTTAAGTTCTTGCCCAGCGTGATCATTCCCAGCTAGAACCACCAATTACCTGCCTCTTCACCCAACAAAGAGATGGTGAAAATTCATTCTAAACAAATTTTTCTAATTTTAAAAGTCTCACAATGGAGACATTACTGGTGCCTGCTTGAGCAAATCGATGAACAATGGAAGGACAGTGCTACGGTGCGGTGCTACCATGTCTAGAAAGCAACATGATGTTGATTGCAAATGCATAACTGATCCAGCTAGTTCCAGAGAACCCAGAGATTCTGCATTTCCTTCTTTCTTTTTTAACTATTTTTCCATCCATTTTTAAAAAATGAATCACCGTGAGATACAGTTACAGACTTACAAACTTTCATGATTACGTTTCAGTCATGCAATGATAGAGTACCCGTCCCTCCACCAGTGCTCATTCTCTACCATCAATGCTCCCAGTATCCCTCCTGCCACTCCTCCATCCCCCAGGCCCTTCCCCCACTCTGTGGCAGGAACATTCCCTTTTACTCTCTTTCTACTTTTGGGTGTTCTGGTTTGCAATACAGGTAGTAAGTGGACCATCATGTTTGGTCCATAGTCTACTTTCAGCACACATCTCCCATCCTGAGCGAGTGCTACAAGCATCATTTACTTAGTGGTCTATTCTCTATCCCAGCTGCATTTTCCCCCAGCATGTGAAACCGACTTTCCAAGGATAGTAGAGATAAGGGTCAGTAGGATGCTCCACGACTTGAGATTATGCATTTCTAGCAAATTCCTGTGGTGGCAATGCTGCAGGCCATACTCTGATGCTCTGAGAACCACTCCTTGAGAAGCATGGCTGTGTTCTTGATTGCCAAGTTTTCAAGAGTTTTAATCATTCTGCATTAAAATTCTCAATATTGCAGGTGGTCTTGAAGGAAGTGTGCATTGACTCAACAGAGAAGCTGTGATAAATTCTTCATCCAGAAGTGACACAAGATAACACACTTCTGAAACTGTACGGGCAGCACAACCTTCTCAAAAGTATGTATTTGTCCCAGTCCCAGTGCCTGTGAATACTTTAGCTTTATAGAAATGGATTGTGACCTCATTTTGTAGGTTTGCTAAAGAGAGGACTTTGATGACAGAAGATCCTCCCTGAGTCTCTAAAAGCCAAAGTGCCCTGTTGGAGAGAGTCTTGACTGAGAAATTTGAAACTGTTACACTTACAGTTTTGAGATGAAGGGTCTTGAGTAAAAGATGATGGTGTCCTCAAAATAATCTCAAAGGAGAAGGAATCTGATTATTCCCCGAGATTCTGAGGGACCCAGCCCTGCAGATGTGTAGCTGTGAGTCCAAGGAAATTTCTAATCCCTTGATTCCTTCTCACTACATCTAAGAGTTTAAGGTCACATGTGCATTTGATTAAAGCAATAAGTGATATTTCCCCTTACTGTCTGTCAGTCTTTGCAGGTTGTCTTTTTCCTGGAATTTATCTTGCATATAATTGTTGATAAAGGTAATCCTTGTTTCCTGCTATATCATGCACAGCATTTCCTTTTCATGTTACAAACACACACACACACACACACACACACACACACACACACACAGAGTGAAATACTATGCAGCCACGAGAAAGATAGAGACATGCAGTTTGCCATCACCTGAGTGGAATTGGAGGTTTTCAAACCAAGTGAAACACAGTCCGAAGGAAAAACACAAACATCTGTGATAATTATGATAATTGACCAGAAGATAAATGATCAGAGGATAGAGGATCTTACTCATATAGAAAATAAAAAGAAAAGGTAGGGGCTAGACAGTTCCCAGTGGAAACAATCTGAGATATTGTCAACGAAGCAGTGAAATGAGACTGAAAAGGGCTGAGAAAAGAATTTGCTTCCAATTTTGTATCCATCATCATTAAAGCCACTGTTATTTTTGTATTCTTCTGTTTTGTCATTTAATATAGAAAATAAGTGTTTAATACAGCACAGAACTAACACATTTGAAATTTCAATATAGACCTGCTTTTACCTTAGTGTTTTACAGTTCAAAAAGTAGAGGGCTAATAATTCTCATCAATATTTTAACTCAGTCCATGGTACGTAAAATGATTTCAGTATCTCATTTATTTGATGATTGATTTATCAAAGGCATCATGAAGACAAAAGTTTTATAAAAATATTGCATACTTCTCTGCACAGATAGAGAATTCTTTTTTTTTTTCTTTTTGGGTCACACCTGCCAATGCACAGGGTTTACTCCTGTCTCATGCACTCAGAAATTACTCCTGGCGGTGCTCAGGGGGGCCATATGGGATGCTGGGAATCAAACCCCGTCAGCCGCGTGCAAAGCAAACACCCTTCTGGCTGTGCTATCACTCCAGCCCCGAGAATTCTTTCTTTAGCGATAAATCTAGAGTTTTGCCCTACCACAACTCATTCTTTGTCTATGAGACATTGTCAAGTCTTAAACATAGGAGGTGAGAAATGCAAATAAGGTGCAAATCCTAGAGGAGGAATGCATTCTGATGTTTGTTCTGGTCTACGGAGAACAGAATCAGCAACCAACATTTCTCTTGTCTCCAGACCAATGTCCCCCAGGAAGCAGCATGCCCAGAGGTGAGAGTAACAACGGAAATCCCGCTAATGAGCTGACACAGGGAGATGTAAATATTCCCTCTGTGGTAGCATCTCCATCAGATTATACCCTGACCTGGAAAAGGCATGGTTTTACCCATGAATTCCTGGGACTCCTTAGGTATCCAAGACTTCTTTCTGCCTGCCTGCTGCTGTGATTTCTGAGAAAAGAGTTTTGACCTTCATTATAACCCAGACTTGCTCGATTTTGTAACTGCAGGCTGTTTGCTTCCTCTTGGAGACCCTGTCTGGTGAGTCTGAGAACCTCATACATAGGTACTTTAAGAAAGATTGAGGGAGCATAAAAGGAAAGAACTTTTCTCTGAGGTCATCTCAGAGTCTTACTTGGCCTTCCCGAAGGCTGAGACATTGTCACACATTTTGTACCAGGTTTGGTGTTAAAAATATTACAGTTTTAACTGGGATAGAGAAGGGGCCACTAAGTGAATGATGCTTGGAGGGCTCACTTGGGATCGGAGATGCGTGCTGAAAGTAGACTATGGACCAAACATGATGGCCACTTACTACCTGTATTGCAAACCATAACATCCAAAAGGAGAGAGAGAGTAAAAGGGAATGTGCCTGTCACAGAAGCAGCAGGGATGGAGTGGGGGGTGGATGAAAGGGGTGATGGGAGGGATACTGAGAACATTGGTAGTGGAGAATGGGCACTGGAGGAGGGATGGGTACTCGTCATAACTGAAACATAATCACAAAAGTTTGTAAGTCTGTAACTGTATCTCACGGTGATTCATTACAAAATATTTTTAAAAAATATTATAGTTTCTCACCATGGAAAGCATGGATGCCACTGCTGGTATTAGTTGAATGTATGGTATTAACATTTAGAGCGAATTGAATTACATTCAAGTCCAAGCATTGAATAAGTGGTAGATCCAAGATCAAAACTATGATGCCAAATGTTTTCATTTTATATAACTTAGGAGAGTCTTACAAAATTACATATTTCATATCCACCCCACTATATTTTATTTGAATATTTTCTGTTCCATATGTTGGGTTTATATCCTGATGCTTGTTATCATACTTCGTCCTTCAGTGTTGTTTAATCTTTAGAGGTCTTAACATAAATTTCATTTCATTCATTTCATCATCCTGTTATTCGTCGATTGCCTCGAGCAGGCCCCAGTAACGTCTCTTTCATCCTAGCCCTGAGATTATATTCAAGGCTATTTAGGAAAGTGAGACCCATCACTTTCCTTAACATAAAGTGTGACAAAAATGCCACTTATTTCTCATGAAGATAGTTTCCTGCTTTTTATTAGCTATTCTGGTCAACAAGGGGGATATAAGTTTTGTTGAAACAATTCCAGGAACAAGGAAGCATCTGAACTTAATAGATTTTATATTTTCTGTGTCCATTTCTTTTCATAGTCTCTGAGAGTTTTGTATGTTGTGAACATTTTATTCTGCAAAGGCTTTGAATCATTTGCTCATGGGTTGCTCCCCACTTTAAATTGGAAACTATTTCCATAATTTTTACTATAAAGATAATATGATATGATGGGCAGGAGTGACAGTACAGCGAATCAGGCATTTGCCTTACATGCTGCTGACTTGGATTAGATCCCTGATATCGTATACAGTCCCCTGAGCACTGCCAGAAGTAATTCCTAAGTGCAGAGCCAGGAATAACCCCTGAACCTCGCTGGGTGTGGCCACCCAATTTTTTTAAATGGTAGTATGATATGAAAAATTTCCCCTGTGTTATTCCATTCACAGTTATTTTAGCAGAAGTTAACAGATCCTGCTATGTTATGGATGCAGCAGGAGGCTATAGTGTTTATGCATGCATGTGTTTGAGTGTATGTGTGTTTGTTATTTTTGGTTGGGGAAGCACTTGGCAGTGCTCAGGGCTTACTCCTGGTTATGATGAGGGATCACTCCTGGTGTGGCTCAGGGGACTATATGTGGTGCTGGGGATCAAATTCGGGATGGCTATGTGCAAGGCCACTCACTGCCCTACCCACTGTGCTTTCTCTCTGGCCCCCTGTTTTCTGGGACATAAATAACATAGGGCAGTGGTAAGTATCTCATATACTTCAGAATAGGTAAAGGTAAAGGTAAAGGTCCTTCCGTTGATCGTCGATTTACTTGAGCGGGCCCAGTAACATCTCCATTGGAGACTTTGTTGTTACTGTGTCTGGCATATCGAATACTCTCCGTAGCTTGCCGGGCTCTCCGAGAGGGGCGGAGGAATCGAACTCGGGTCGGCCATGTTGGCCGCTTGTAAGGCGAACGCCCTACCGCTGTGCTATCGCTCCTTATGATCCTTATATAAAGAAAATTTTATTTAGGAACAATGATTTATAAAATGGTTAGTAATAAAGTTTCACACATACCAGGTACGTGGCCTCATCTGACATGATCTTCTTTGAATATTAATTTATCTCTTTTATTATAGAACTGCAGGGACTTTGATTTCTCAGCACTTCATAGTATTTGATTAGAAAAATGGTCAGATTTCATCAGATATTCCTAAAGTGGAAGAAATAATTTATTAATTTTGCAAGATGATGACATATTGGGTAAAAGACAAAAGGGGGCAGGATTTTCTTAGGCCCTTATAGAGCAAGATCTCTTAAAAAAACGCGCAATGAAACAGGTTCATAAGGCCAGACAGATAGTATAGTAATTAGGGTGCCTGTCTTTCACATAACTGACCTGGGATTGATCCCTGCCACCTTATCTGGTCCCTTGAGCTCCACCGGGAGAGATGCTTGGGCCCAGAGCCAGGAGTAATCCTGGAGCACTGCCAGTTGTGGCACAGAAGAAAACAAAACAAAAAACTAGGTTCATATGAAAATGCTTATTTTTCATTCTTCCCCCCCCTCAATTTTTATTTAGTCACCATGCCTTATAATATTGTTCATAATAGCTTTTCAGAATTACAACATTTCAACCCCAAACCTACAACCAGAGTGTTAGATTCTCTCCACCATTGTCTTAAGGTTCTTTCCAACACCATTGTCTTAAGGTTCTCTCCATCACCCTGTTTTGGAAAACTCTGGGTCTAATACCATTAGTTAGAGAGTCATTCCTTACTATTCTTTTTTCTATCCCACCATGAGAAAGGTGATTCTCCATCATCCCTCTCCTTCTGACTGACTTCATTCGGAGTGATACCCTCTAATTCTATCCACATTGTGGCAAATTATATGATTTTATTCTTTTAGTTGAGAAATATGCTATTGCATCTCTAGACCTCAGTTTCTTTATCTACTCATCTGTTCTTGAGTTGTTGAGTTTTTTTTTTTTTTAGATTTTTATTAGTGAAACACCATGAGGTATAGTTGTAGATTTACAAATTTTTGTGCTTGGGTTTCAGTTATACAATGATCAAGTACCCATCCCTCCACCAGTGCCCATTCTCCACCACCACTAATCCCAATATCCCTCCCACGCCCCATCCCCCCATCCCACCCTACCTCTGTGGCAGGGCATTCCCCTTTGTTCCCCCTTGTTTCTTTCCTTTTGGGTGCTGTGGTTTGCAAAAGAGGCATTGAGTGGCAATCATTTTCAGTCTAGAGTCTACTCTCAGCATGCATCTCCCATCCTGGGAGGATCCTCCCAACACCCTTTATTTGGTCCTCCCTTCTCTATCCGAGCTGCCTTTTCCCCCAGCGTGTGCGGCTGGCCTCCAAGCCATGGAGTAAACCTCCTGGTACTTAAAACCTGGTACTCTGCTATTCTTGGGTGTTAGTCTCCTATTTTGTTACCTTATGTTCCCCAGATGTTGGGTTGTTTTTAAAAATTGACTACTGTGAAAAGAGCAGCTATGATATATGGTTAATTCTTGACTAAACTAGCATTTTAATATGTTCATGATATCCATAGTATGGAAATTGATATTGTATTTATTTTCAATTCTAGTAATCAATCACCACCTCATGGTACCAGACAATTATACACAGATTACTGAATTTATTCTTCAGGGATTATCAAAGGAACCCAAACTACAAACCCTCATATTTAGAGTTTTCCTCTCCATGTATTTGGTCACTGTGTTTGGAAACCTGCTCATCATCTTGGCCACCATCTCAGACCCCCATCTCCACACGCCCATGTACTTCTTCCTGTCCAATCTGTCATTTGCAGACATCTGTTTCATCTCCACCACCATCCCAAAGATGCTGGTGAATATACAGACAGAGAGCAAAGCCATCACCTATGAAGGCTGCATCACACAGATGTATTTCTTCCTATTCTTCGGTGTTTTGGATGACTTTATACTGTCTGCAATGGCCTATGACCGCTTTGTGGCCATCTGCCACCCACTGCACTACACAGTCATCATGAACCCCCGGCTGTGTGGGTTGGTGGTTCTGCTGTCCTGGATCATAAGTGCCCTGTATTCTGTGTTACAGAGTTTAATGGTGTTGAGATTGTCCTTCTGCCCAGACTTGGAAATTCCTCACTTTTTCTGTGAACTCAATCAGATGGTCCAGCTTGCCTGTTCAGACACATTTGTCAATAATGTTGTGCTGTATTTGGCAACTGGGATACTGGCTGGCTGTCCTCTGGCTGGAATCCTTTACTCTTACTCAAAGATTGTTTCCTCCATCCGCAAAATCTCATCTGCTCAGGGAAAATACAAAGCTTTCTCTACTTGTGTGTCTCACCTGTCTGTTGTTTCTTTATTTTATTTTACAATCCTGGGAGTGTACCTTAGCTCAGCTGCTACCCACAACTCACACTCGAGTGCCACCGCCTCCGTGATGTACACGGTAGTCACCCCCATGCTGAACCCCTTCATCTACAGTCTCCGGAACAAAGACATCAAGAGCGCTCTGAAGAGATTCATTGGGATGGAAGCTTTGAAAGTGTCGACTTTCTTAGGACTAAAGAAGTGCTCATTTGGTAAATAGATTGTGTGCCTTCTTTTTATAAAGTGATTTGCCAGATATGTTTCTCCATGAAGGCTTCATCATAAAAGAATTGGCAAATCTATTGACTTCACTTCACTTCTAAAAATTGATTATCAAAATACAATTCTTAATAATCCTTCACTGGAAAGAAGAAATAGTAAATCTATTGACTTAATAGTGTCCCGAACTGATTATTCAAATATAATTCTCAATGGATCCTTCCTTCATAAGATTATTTGCTTATGGTAAAGTAAATCTATTTGCTTCGCAGGGTCTAAGATCTAGAATTGACCTTAAGTATAATTTGCAAAAGCTTAAATTGATAATTTTTCTTATTATGCAAAATAGTTCTTTTTCATGGGAAAAATACTCTGTAAAGTTTTGTTATCATATAGGATGTCTTTTGTTCACTGAGGTGTAGATATTGGTTACTATATTGTCTTTCGACAGGATTAATTAATTTCCTTGAAACCTCCAAGTCTGCCTACAAATATTAATATTCCATTGCTTAGATATTTTTGTCAAAAATTTTATTCTTTAAATAGAATGTTAAATTATCAATAAATATATTATTAATTGTATATTAGAGCCTATCTGCTCAGGATCTTGTTTACTATTTTTGATGAAATGATTATTCTCAAGGGACTAAAATTTCTACTTATTTGTGACATTTAAGGTCAGTTTTTCCTGTACAAGTGCTCCGCTAATTATCTGGAATGGAACCTCATAAGAAAGACTGATTAATACAATGTTCAGAATTAAACTTGGGAGTCTAGAGTAATTCTGAGTACTGTCTCCAGATATAAGAATATACTCTAAAAACCCAATAATTATTATAAATAACCTAAGTTTTATGCTCTTAGTTGTTTTAGCAGTTATATATTGCTGCCTAGCAATTCTGCATAAAAATCATCTGATTTAAGTACCTTTTGCACACTAAGGTAATCTATGTTGGTGGAGTTTTCTAACCTCTAATTGGATACTCATGAAATTTGAGTCACCTGTGAGTTTTCCAACTGTGTTGATAACTCGTCCAAGATCTTGTGTGTGGGCTAGTTCATGTCTTAACTGAAGCAGTATCTTGTTGGCTGTGTTTATATATGTAGGTATTTATATACATAGTTTACATGTGTTTGCTCTGTTTATATATGCAACTGAAAATTTTAGTTTAGAAAAAATAATTTTTTTCAAGTTGAATCACCCTATTCTACTGTTTTCTATATGCATATATGGCACTTTGCTTTCTAAAATGTTGGAAGATTTCTATCCACTGCAGTAGGGCATTTGCCTTGCAGGCGGCTGACCCGGCCTACCCGGGTTCGATTCCTCCGCCCCTCTTGGAGAGCCCGACAAGCTAGCGAGAGTATTTCACCCACATGGCAAAGCCTGGCATGCTATCCGTGATGTATTCAATATGCCAGACACAGTAAGAAGTCTCACAATGGTGACGTTACTGGGCCCGCTCAAGCAAATCAATGAACAATGGGAGGACAGTGACAGTGACAGTGACCATTAAAGTGAGTCAGGTATGTGTGCTCAAGTTACTATACTTTTTACATCATTGTATTTTCCCATTTTGAGAGTAAATTAATGCTTCTAAAGACCTGCAATAAGGTGCACAGCTGAAATGTAGCATTGGCTAAACAGAAAAGTTCATACAAAGTTCAAGTGTACATAGTCCTTGGATCAATTTGTATAATTTAAGAGATAATGGGGTACTTCCTTTGGATGGTATGAGAAAGAATCACATATGCAGAAATTAAAGTTTTAGTTCATTGAAAACATGCATAGATAAAGTTTATGTCCCTATAAGTGTATGTGTTTTTATTTCTATGTGAATACTCATACAAAAATATGCATGCACTGAGATATTTATTTGTATGCTCTGAGATATTTATGGTTTCATGTATTATGTTGAGGAAAATCAGAGAAAGTTGGTTGCAGAGCACAAAAATAAAAATAATATACATTTGTATTAACATAAATTAAAATATGGAAAAAAATTGAAAGGTACTGCAAAACCTTAATTCTGATAATAAATTATTTTACATATTTTAATTCCAGGAAACCACTATAGTTAGAATCACAGTTACATTAATTCACTGTATAAGTTAATGGGGCAGACAATCTACAAAAAAAAAATATTATACTTGAAATACCCTTACCCAGAGCAAATCAACAATGGACTGAGGGCTTAAACTGGATACACATAAACATTTTTTTTTTTGCTTTTTGGGTCATATCCAGTGATGCTCAGGGGTTACTCCTGTCTCTGCACTCAGGAATTACTCCTGGCGGTGCTCAGGGGGACCATATGGGATGCTGGGAATCAAACCTGGGTCGGCCATGTGCAACACAAATGCCCTACCCATTGTGCTATCGCTCTGGCCTCCACATAAACACTTAATGAATAAAATGTGCTTACTATATTCCTAGAGCCACTTCAAATTAATTCCATTCGCATTGCTTAAAGCACAAAAATACATGCTGTTACAGTCTTGGAAATTATAGTTTGAAATGACTCTCATTGGATGAATACCAAGATGTGGGCGGACCCAGTAATTCTGAAGTTCAAAGAAGAATCTGTTTCTTTCCCTTCCAGCTCATGTTGTTGGACACCTTCATCTCTCAGTTCAGGCCCTTTAATATTTTCAAATCTACCTCTGCTTAGATGCCTTTGTCTTTCTCTTCAACATTTATAGGACCCTGTATTTGATCATAGCAAATCATTATACACATCATATACATAAACGTCATGTAAATAAACATCAGCTGAATTGATAGCTGGCTATCTGACTCTTTGAATTCTCTGAAAATAAAATACTGAATGACAGTGGGTTTGATGAGAAGGTCCACATATATTAGAATTCTGCCATGATAAAATATATTCTCTCCTATTATTTTAGGGCACCTATTTAAAAGGAAGTGTGTAAAATTAGCTTGTAGAACTAATCACAGTCTCTGACATGAATAAATACGTTATTCCTTCAAAAGGGCCTTCAAAAATAATATTTGGTGCAGAGGATTTAAATCTACTAACCCAAATCCAATCCAGGATCACATATCTTTCCTGATATGTATAATAATTTGTTCTTAAATAATAAATTATTAGTTATAAAACTAATGTTGGGGAGGGCAGGAGGGAAACCAGGGAAATGTACACTGGTGAAGATGTTGGAACATTGTATGATTGAAAACCAATCGTGATCAACCTTGTAACTGTGCATCTCGTGGAGATTCAATTAAAAAATAGTCATTTGACTTATAATATCTAGAGAAAAGAGGCTCATTAGGTAAAAACTCCTCTCTGTCCAGATCAGCTTCCCATGGGGGAATCTTGTGTTTATGGATGGAAGAACAAGAGGTGAATGAACTTAACAAGCAGTGAGTGGGTGGTTGATATAAATATCTCCTCATCTTCATTCTCACACTGTATGTCCCTGGGATTAAGGGGACATTTGTGTTAGTTTCTTCTTCCTTTGTTGGCAATTCAAATCTTTCTGGGGAACTTATGCATTATTCCTTCCTGCTCTCTTTTCTGGGAAAAGACAAAGTCTCCATCATCCCCCATCCCAGGAGCGATTGAGACTTCCACCTGGAGACTTCCCTCTTGGATTTCTCATCCAGGTGAGTTCAACAAGCCAGCTGACTCAGCCCAGAGAGTAGAGAGAAGGGGAGCCCAGAATATTATCAAACTGTGATGAATGTTTGAGAACATCCACGAGGAAGGAGGAGGTGTGTTGGTTACTTGATTCATGAATGATGCACTTACTTTAGAGGCTACAGAATACCCTCCCTGAATACATCACACCTTTCTTTATTTATTTATTTTGGCTTTTTGGGTCACACCCGCCGATGCACAGGGATTCTCCTAGCTTTAAACTCAGGAATTACTCCTGGCGGTGCTCAGGGGACCATATGGGATGGTGGGAATCGAAACCCGGTCAGCTATGTGCAAGGCAAATGTCCTACTGCTGTACTATCACTCCGGCCCCATATATATCACACTTTTGACGGGTGTTTCTGTTCTTCACCATGAAGGTGTTAGTATACTGTGCTAGGAAGCACGTTGATATTTTAATATTCTGTCTGTAGTTCTAACTGGAGATTTTGTCAGTCAGACTGCATGAGTAATGTCCAGAGAGACATTTCTGAGTGTCACAGTGGATGGAGGTAGGTGGTATCTAGGTATGCTCTAAACAGTCTCCCTTTCATGCACGAGACTGGCTTCTGATTTACTAGTACTTGACTAGTAAATCCCAACTTAAAGGGGATAGTTATTTTCAGTGTTTATAGCCTCTTTTTATTTCTTTAACCACTTTAGTACTTCACTTTTCAGCAAAATTTTAGAGTTTTCTGTTTGCTACCAATTTAAAATCTCCAACCTCATTGGAGAGATAGCTCTTACATTTTTTTCCTGAGGCTGATGGATGTGAAGAGATTTCTTGCTTCCTTATTACAATATTACTCAGTTTCAGAAAACTTCAGATACTTGATCACCAATTTGACTTCCCATTTAGGATATGTGTGTAAATCACTGACCTTTCCTGTATTAAAGGTGAGGTAAAACTTTCAAACATTTTCTCAGGCTACTATTTCTGTGTTGACATTTGAAGAAAATTCTAAGTGTAACTTTGCAATTAAAAAGAAGTCTATTTTCTTGCACAGGAGTTTCTCACTCTATTCTGTTAACAGATTATCCCACCTGCAAATTTTTCCAGTAGTTATCTAGATGCTTATCTAAACTGTTTGGCTACTGTGACCCTGAAGTTGTAATTGTAGAATAACATTGATTTGTCTCTTCTCCTCTGCCCCAAGGAGCGTAGGATTACTGAGTAACACCCATCACAATACTTCTGAAGCTCTCCCATTTCCTCGGAATTCATCTCTAAGTTCTCTTTTGTGCCCGCTTGATTATCCATTAATCACTCATTTCCCCAAATCAAACCCATGATTTGTAAGGTCAGATCCTTCTAAAGACACTGGATTTTATATTTGTA